TGTCATATCAGAGCGATAAGTAAAAGGATGAACCCAGATGAGTAGAATTTCCCAAGAAAACAAATGGGTGTTGGATTTCATACTTAAAAAGTGGGATGAGAAAGAAACAGATGGGCAGGGAGGTGGCCTCTGGGTTACCTCGGTAACGAGGATGAAAGTGATTTCCCTGTTTGGGTCGCTAATTGAAAGGGGGGCCGTCCCATGGGCAGGTTAAAATCCTTACTGTGCTGAAGTCCAATCTGTTGCTCACTCATTCTTTTTGAAGTTTTGTGGTGTGGGTGCACATGTGTCTGCACTCCTGCTTGTGAAATAGAGAGAGGAGTTAACACTATCTCTGTCTCTCCACTCTCTGATTATGTGATTGTGTGTCCACTGTGCTGTTCATAATATAGTGTCAGTAGTCTGTGCACGGGTGTGTGTGTTTGTAACCTTACACCAAGGAGAGCCCAGACCATATGGACACCCTGGTGGTGAATTTGATTGATTAATTTAATCTCTCTTCACATGCAAACTCCATTTTGCTTGAAATTCAATTAAAGAGTACAGTATGTAGAGAATGTGTGGTAGTGTGACTTTCATTTTAAAAACCAGGTGCATTTTGAGAGTCAAATGCAATAAAATACATGCAGAGATGTACACACAGTCCAACAGAGAAGGACCTCATATCTGCAAACAGATTCATTTGGCGACAAGATATTGAAGAGGGTCAGAGGGCAGTTATCCCTGGAGTGTAATGTAGAGAGGAGATGGGGATTTGCATGCCATTAGGGAAAGCAGCGTATGTGCGTGATGCTCTCTGTTTCCACCCTCATTTGTCTCCTCGCTGCATTTGGCGTCACATTTTCACTTTACCTGAGTCCTCCTCTCTTGATGCTGCACTGCCTCCCATAATTCTCCTCCCTAATCCCTAGGTTTCTCTCCCTTGTCTTGCTCATCACTTCTTCTACTGGCTTTCACTGTGGTGTGTGGATAGTTCTTGCCAACAGCAGCAGTAATTCTCCCCTACTTACAGAGTCATTGCTTTTTTTCTGTTTGCCCTTAAACCAATTAGGCTCAGATAAGGCCACTCGTTTAACTGCCTGGAAACTGGATGTTGGGATGGTGAAGAAGCAGCAGGACAGGAGGGGAAAGGAGGGGGGTTAACAGCAGTTGAAAAGATGGATGGGGCCTGGAGAGATAAAAATGAGGAAGGCAAAGAAGGAGGGAGGTCGGCCGGGTCTGGAAAAGATGCAGTAAATGCATGTTTTACAAATGAGTATTCTGCAGCTAGACTTCTCTGTTAAGGACGTCACTGTCCAAGGTACCTAAGACATGCTCAGTACCAGACTGTAACAGGGGACTATAGTGGGCTGGTTACAGTCTACAAAATGACGTGTTAACTACCTACTCTGTTCTGTGGGAAAGCTCATCTTGGTGGAGAAAAATCAGTGACACGTAAGCCAGAGATATTTGTTGTGAGGATCAGAACTACAAACAGTGGATATTCAGTACATAGAGTATATCAGGCTTGGAGTGGTGTATTCATACGGACAAAACAATGTTTTTGCTCCTGTCTCTGCCTTTGAAGAAAGGATCTTGAGTGGAACACTGACTCATCTCTACAGGAACTCGATGATCACTGACAGATTGTTATGACCTCAGTGTGGGGGAAGTCGTATCCTATTATTGTTCTTGTTATCGCTCACTGAATCCTTTTGGAGACAGTTATTTTCAGGGTGTACAGTCCACACAACCGCAGACTGTGGAAAAGATAAAACAAACCCAAGTTTCATTTTTTAAGCCATTTGAAAATTGACATTCTGCTCTCATTGGTTACTTGTTGTTGTTATGACTGTCATCTTGAAGGTTCATCTAACACGAATTCCCTATTTTTTAACTTATTATGGCTTTGAAAGCCATGTTAGGCTTTTGTTAGCTGTCATCTGTTTGATGGAAAACCACCGCTGAGATGGCGCTGGAGTCAGAGGTCAGCCAGGCGACTCCAACCCAACAGAGGGGATAATTGTTTTGGGATGTTTAGCTTCTGGCTATCTTGACTCAAATATGTTAATATTCATATTTTTAGTAGTTGTTGTTGGTGGCTCTTCCTGACAACACTGCATGGCAGCATTTTAAAAACAGAAACAAACTGCAATGGAATTTGCAATGAGAAGATTTGGTTAGAACTAGTTTTTCTGTGGGTAAACAAAACTGTTCGGTTTTACCATTTTGCTACAATTTGACTGCTGTTTTGAGGCCAGCGAAGCACTGAGCAGTACTACTTTTAATAGTAGTTTTCAGTGTACAAAGAGTGCAACGTATTCAGTGTTACTCATTATTGTAGACATCTTGAAAGAAAAGACAGTGTCAGCACAATATTTGTCATAATTACTAGGATTTCTCATGTCATATCAAGGTCAAGCTGGTCAAATGTCCTTTTACATCCTCCATCCTCCTCTGTATTTACTCCCCTGAGCAGAGAGCCACATTATAGTGTGCATAATTGCACTGATTTTCTTTTTTATTTGATGAACCACTGATTTAAAAATAATTAACTCCAAGCGAGCTTTGAAATTATTAGAAACAGCACGTACTTGAAACGCTTTGTAATTCCAGGCAAGCCGACTTTGTGCAACCTTTTTACTGGGCGTGCAGGTGTGCTCTCCAGCTGTGCCGGGGAGATATGCTGTTAAAAAGATTCCTGTTGAGTCTCTAATAGATGTTAATGCCAGGCTGCTCCTTTCCTGCGCTCTTTCATATAGAAATGTTACAAATAGAAGAATGAAAATACACAGGCAGGGGGTTATAGAATGTGGGGCTTAAAAGACGTGAAAGATTCTGTTTGTGTGGCCGTGTGTGTGACTGTGTGCACTACTGCTGACCAGAGACTACCTGAAATAAAATTGGATTTTCTTCCACTTTTGTACCACAGTTCTGTGCAATGTTCGTGTACATACCTGAACTGTCAGCGGACTGCTAAAGCCATAATAGCTGGCAGGGAGAAGCAGACATGGCCTTCTGGTGTAATGGAGGTGTTATTTTGCCCAGAGTGGACAGACTACTTGGTGTTACGCTGTTCTTATCCTGCCTAGTCGGCTATGACGACCCAGAGTGCAAACCCGGGGCGGCAGCTCCTGTGTGTGCACGCCTTGAGGTGTGTTTCCCTTTCCTGTGAAAGTGTGTGTGCAGCCAATGTGACAAAAAGTTGGACTTAATACAAGTTTCTAAACATTGGGGTATTTCACTTTTGCATATTGCTGTTTGGTGACCCCTACCTTTCCATCCCGTACCTTACATGCACATGCAAGCTCACAAACACAGGGAGCTCGCCTTACTCAAAGACATCTGAGCTCTGAAAAGGCCAGATGGTGGATGCAGGTTGGGGGCTTGTATGCATGTACACATTTCTGTGCCCATCTCAGTATGAGAAGGACTGGTCTCAGCAGAGATAGAGAGGGAGGGAGGGAGAGAGAGAGCGAGAGAGAGAGAGCATGAAAACACAGGCTATACTGGCATATTTAAGTCCTCTCTACAAACAGTGTATTTTTTTTTTTTACCATTTTTACCATGTGTCCTCCCATACCTTGAACACATTCCTGTGGAGATTCTCTGTGGAGATGCTATCGGCAGTGTTCGGTTCCCGTTTTACTCTCAGCTCTGTTCTTATCAGAGCAGGTGGCTAACTGTGGGAAGACGGCGAGGGACTTATCAGTGCAATCACAGGGAGAGGCGGGCACCGGTGCATCGGCAACATACGAAACACATTAGAGCACCAGAGTGAAAGTGGTGACGCTCGTGACACAGTTCAACCTCAAACTGTGTGTGTCATCTGTTTCCTGGTGAAGCCAGTTGTCTCGGATGGCAAAGACACCGACGTTTGCACACAGAGATAAGGAAGGCTTCTCGTGC